GGCCCGGGCCGCACCAGAACGCCTGGCCAGCCCCCCGCCGCAGAGAAGCCACACCCATGACCACCCCACCACACCGACAACGACCAAGTGCACCCCCCCAGCCGCCCACCCCCCGGAACCCGGCAGCCACCCCGGCCAGGGGGCCACCCACAGGAACCAAGAGCCACACCTCAGGAGACCAAGCAGCACCAGGGAGGATGGAGAGCCAGCCCCGCCCCAGGCAACCATCCAAGCCCCGAGCCCACCCACAGCCCAGGACCGCACCCGGCAGTCTGCCCTTCTTCAGGATCCCCTCCCCAAATGGCAGTCGGGGAACGGGATGGGAACAAAGACCCTGACACCCACACCCCCACCCCCAGATGTATGTACATACAATATTATGGCTAAATAAAATCAATCAAATCAATCAATACTTCAGTCATATTCACAGTCATTGACCAAAGTCTCAATGGTTGTGGAAAAGCAAACAACCAGTAACAGTCCTCTTATACATATAAACATTGGGCAGAAATGAAACATTTTTCTGTGACATTAAAAAACAAAATGGAAAGAGCTTCAGGAAATTGTAAAAAAAATAATAATAATAACGACTGAGACCACTGTAAAAGATTACAAAAAAGTTTGGCTCCTTGGAAGCGAAGAATAAAGAAGTAATGTGTGGCTTTAAAACCACCTAACTGCAGCTCTGTATCTTTATTTAGCCATGCACCTGACTGACGCTTTGTGACACATGACTGCTCTCTTCCTTGTTTTCTTTTCACCACAACTAAAACTGCAGAGGGAGCTGTCAGGTGAACTCGCCTTAAATGTTGGTAGCTTTGCTTAAAGCTACAAAATAAAAATATGGCAATAAGTTGATAAAGAATTAAGTATTTTTAAAATAAAAAAACATCATTTTTAAGCCACTTATATTTTCATAAACAATAGAAAAACCTAAATCATTGTTTTGAGTCAACTTAACACACACCTGCTGTTACTAAAAACATGGAAAACTTTGATATAAAAGCTTCTTTTGTTTTAATGTCTGAACACCACAGAAAGTGCTTATCTGAAGCTTAAATAGCCAGCCCCTAGACATGAGGTTTGTTCATCTCAAACCTTGCAGCATTGACTAATGAATCAAATGACAGGTAATAATAGTATTTAGTGGTCAAAGGACAGTGCCAGCACTAAGATGGTAAAGTATAAATGAGTATGTCATCTTAAAAGTTCCTCCCTGTTTCTTCATATTATAATTATAATATTGAGCTGATCTGGCAGAAATCCGCTTTCATGGTCCCAACTCCCAAGTACAGCATTCCATTTGGATTATGTTTTGACTGTTTTTCTATCAGTTGCGTAATCTGGCCTTCAAGAAGATTCCTCAGAAGTCCTGCGCCCCGCAGTCCTGCATGACGCTGTCGGGAATTGCCAGCGACCTTCTTAACCCGGCATCAGGAGAACATGGCGTACCCTCAGAGGGGTGGCAGCAGTGGAAGCAGCGAGACGAACAGGTCCGAAACAATAGCTGCTCCTATAATAAATGTCTTTGACAGGATTGGACTCAATCTTTTACTGCTGACCAGTGTGACTCAATGGGAAAATGTTATGCGATGTGTTTGATATTGTTGCACATCACAACAAAAGAAGAGATGCAAAACACCAGCCTGTCTGTTTGTGATAGTTACAAACCTGTCCAACAGTCCTGACTGTTTACATTCTTTTCTTTGTAGATGACCACAGAACTTTATGAAGCTGATTTGGAAAAGGCCTTGATTCTAAGTAAACTGGAGTATGAACAACAGAAACAGGTTAATACACCGTTCATTTAGATACATAAAACACTAAGATGGGAGTAGAATTGTCAAAGTTGAATAATTTGACAATTTTTTTTGTTTGTTTTTTACAAGGCTTTTCATTTGATGCTGGAAATAAAAGGAATGAAATCTGAAGTTTATAAATGGGATTTCTTGATTTTCTGTTCCTCAAATCTTTCTTAAAGTCAGGTCAATCAAACTGTTTTAATTACATAACATTTTAAATTTGTAATTAGTGTATTATATTAAACTATGTGGGAACAGCACATTAT